ACCATTTCTGACTCTTCCTTCCTTAAGAAAACCCTCCGAAATTCGTGGGGTTGTCGCAAGGTGTCAGGTGACTGGAAGGCATAAACCTTGGACTCTTTTCCCCAAATGCTGCTAACTAGATCTTCCAGAGCTTGGCTTGGGGAAAGGTGTCTCTTTGGAGTGCTACTCCCAGAATCCCCTAACCAGTTATACCAGCTGGGGGAATTCTGGGACCAGAAGTCCAAAAAGCAGAACCTTCCCCAAGCCCAGAAACACTGCCCATGAATACCATGTCTGGAAGGAATAAGCAAAAACATCTCTGAGCATTGCGTTGTGGGATTTTTCAGGCTGTATGGCTATGTTCCAATTGCATTCTCTCCAGACGTTTCACCTGCATCTGTGGCTAATGGCATCTTCAGGGGTCTGTTGGAGGTGAGGCAAGTGGAGTGTATGTATGTATGTGTGTATGTGTATATGTATGTATATGTGTGTGTATATATGTATGTATGTGTGTGTGTGTGTGTATATATATATATATGTGTGTGTGTGTGTGTGTGTGTGTAAATTCCAGGGTGGGAGAAAGAACCCCTGTCTCTTTAATGTTGTAATGAGCACGCTCGAATAGCAGTGAGTAGCCATGAAGATGCAAAGTCAATCAGTGAGGACATCTACATAGAGGTAGCCTGGTTGTTGTTGCCTGGAGGCATCACTGTTTGGGAGGTGTTAACTGGCACTTGATTGTTTGCTGTCTGGAGTTCCCCTGTTTCTGGGTGGGGTTCATTATTTACTGTCCTGTTTCTGTTTTTTTTTTTTTTAAATATCGGTAACCAGATATTACTGAGAACTGAGTCTATTAGGGCTGGCCAAACAGAAAGGAAGAAGCCATGAAAATGAACACAATCTGGTTACCAGAATCAAGATAGTAAATAAGGAACACCACTCAGAAACAGGAGAACTCCAGACAACAAGCAATCCAGTGCCAGTTAACACCTGCCAAACAGAGGATGACTCCAGACAACAGAGGCCAGGCTACCTCTATGTAGATGCCCTCACTGATTGACTTTGCAGCATCATGGCTACTCAGTCCTATTCATGCTTGCTTTAAATGGACATTATTTCACAGATAGATAGATAGATAGATAGATAGATAGATAGATAGAGAGATAGACAGAGATGGATAGATGGATGGATGGATGGATGGATGGATGGATGGATGGATGGATAGATAGATATAGACACACTCCACTTGCCTCACCTCCAACAGACCTCTGAACAAACCTCTGAGGATGCTTGCCACAGATGCAAGCGAAACGTCAAGCAAGAATCCTGTTGGAATATGGCCATATAGTCCGAAAAACTCACAGAAACCCAGTGATCCTGGCCATGAAAGCCTTTGACAACACATCTTTGAGGATTCCTTGTCCAAGAACCCTACAAAATTGATGTGGTTGCCATAAGTCTTTCCCTGAAATACTGCTAACTAAAGCTTTCAGAGGATACCACAATTGAAGAGAGATATTGACAAGCTGGAATGTGTCCAGAGGAGGGCAACTAAAAATGATCAAGGGTCTGGAGAACAAGCCCTGTGAGGAGCGGCTTAAAGACCTGGGCATGTTTAGCCTGAAGAAGAGAAGGCTGAGAGAAGATATGATAGCCATGTATAAACATGTGAGAGGAGGAGGGAGTGAACTTGTTTCCTGCTTCCCTGGAGACTAGGATGCAATGGAACAATGGCTTCAAACTACAAGAAAGGAGATTCCACCTGAACATGAGGAAGAACGTCCTGACTGTGAGAGCTGTTCAGCAGTGGAACTCTCTGCCCCGGAGTGTGGTAGAGGCTCCTTCTTTGGAAGCTTTTAAACAGAGGCTGGATGGCCATCTGTCAGGGGTGATTTGAATGCAATTTTCCTGCTTCTTGGCAGAATGGGGTTGGACTGGATGGCCCAGCAGGTCTCTTCCAACTCTTTGATTCTATGATTCTATGATTCTTCCACCCTGGACATTATTTCGCAGATGGATAGACAGACAGATAGGGATAGACGCACTCCACTTGCCTCACCTTCAACCTCTGAGGATGCTTGCCACAGATGCAGACGAAACGTCAAGCAAGAATCCTGCTGGAACATGGCCATATAGCCCAAAAAACTCCCAGAAACCCAGTGATGCTGGCCATGAAAGCCTTTGACAACACATCAGTGAGGATTCCTTGTCTAAGAAAACTACAAAATTCATGTGGTTGGCGTCTTTCCCTGAAATGCTGCTAAGTAGAGTTTCTAGAGAGAAAGGGATCTTTTTGGGATATCATTCCCAGAAATCCCTAGGCATGTTTGGGAATGACCATTTGCCCTAGACAAACTCACTGGGTGACCTTGGGCAAGTCCCCCATCCTCTGAACCTCAGGAAAACCCTTGATGAGGTTGCCATGAGCCAGAATCGACATGTAGGCACACAATCACCATGCTCTCCGAACTGTTTTGGTTTCCCTCATTATCCCAATCACTTTCCAAGTTGTGGAGCAGGCAGGAAAGTTGGTGTCTGCCCTTCTTCCTTCTTTCCTTCCTTCTTTGCAGAGCTGCCTGGCCAGCACTCCTGGGCTCTAGCGGGAATGCAAGGCCGACAGGACCCTAAATCACGGAGATAAAGGGACGGAGAGGGGGAAATAAAGGCGGGCCGATGCCCAACCTGGGGTGGGCTCAGGGCCCCTCCGCTGCTCCCTCCATCCCCGGGAAGGAAGTGCCGACCGAGCAGAATGCGCCTCTCCTCCCCATCAATCTTGGATTAGCTGTGGCTCTGTGGGGAGGACCGGGGCTGATTCACCTGCCAAAGAGGAGGAAAGCGGGGCTGCGGATTGTTTGGGGTGTGTGCTTCCTTGCTTACTGCAGGGAGGCCTGATCCAGCCCCAGGATGCCCCAAATGGGAAGAGGGAAACCCGGGATATGTTTGGCGGTACACATGTTAGCGCATGGAAAGTGTCCTATTTCATCTCACAGAGCTGTAGACCCCAATAGCCATCTGAAGGTGTAAACCAGTATTTCTCAACCTGCTCCATCCATAGCATTCCCTGCATCTGCCAAGCTTGTAACTCTACTGAAACAAGAGATAAGATTAATGGTGTGACATTAGAAAAACCCATTTCCACCACTTCGGCAGCCACCTCTCCACAAAAGTCAACATTGACACTGAAATACAACACCGCCTGAGCTCTGCGAGTGCAGCATTTTTCCGATTGAAGCAGAAAGTGTTTGAGGACCGGGACATCCGTAGGGATACCAAGGTGCTTGTTTATAAAGCTATTGTCCTCCCAACCCTGCTCTATGCCTGTGAGACGTGGACTGTCTACAGACGTCACATGCAACTCCTGGAACGAATCCATCAGTGCTGCCTCTGGAAAATCCTGCAAATCTCTTGGGAAGACAGGCGGAGAAATGTCAGTGTGCTGGAAGAAGCAATGACCACCAGCACTGAAGCGACAGTCCTCCGCCATCAACTCCGCTGGACCGGCCACGTTGCCTGAATGTCCGATCACCTTCTCTCAAAGCAGTTGCTCTTCTCCGAACTCAAGAATGAGAAACGGAATGTTGGTGGACAGGAAAAGAGATTCAAAGATGGGCTCAAAGCCAACCTTAAAAACTCTGGCATAGACACTGCGAACTAGGAAACCCTGGCCCTTGAGTGCTCCAGCTGAAGGTCAGCTGTGACCAGCAGTGCTGTAGTCGAGCGGACAAATGTCAATGTGCTGGAAGAAGCTAAGACCACCAGCATTGAAATGATGGTCCTCCACCATTAACTCCACTGGACCAGCAACATTGTCCGGATGCCCGACCACCATCTCCCAAAGCAGTTGTTCTACTCCGAACTCAAGAATGGAAAATGGAATGTTGGTCAGCAGGAAAAGAGATTGAAAGATGGGCTCAAAGCCAACCTTAAAAACTCTGGCATAGACACCGAGAACTGGGAAGCCCTTGCCCTTGAGCACTCTAGCTGGAGGTCAGCTGTGACCAGCAGTGCTATAGAATTCCAAGAGGCACGAATGGAGGGCAAAAGAGAGAATCGTGCCAAGAGGAAGGTGTGTCAAGCCAACCCCGACCGGGATCACCTCCCACATGGAAACCGATGCCCTCACTGCAGGAGAACGTGTAGATCAAGAATCGGGCTCCACAGTCACCTACGGACACCAATCTTGGAAGACAATCCTACTCAGACAATGAGCGATTGCCTAAGTAAGTAAAAGTAAGTAAGATTAGTCTGGCATGACTTGTTTTGTGAAGTCCATGCTGACTTTGAGTGATCCCAGCATTCCTTTCTAAGTGATTTCAGGCTGCCTCCTTCATGATCTCCTCCAGAATCCTTCCTGGTCTTGAGGTCAGGCTGACTGGACACTGGTCACTGTCTGGGTGCTCTTTTTTTCCTTTCTTGAAGATCGGGACAGCATTTGCCCTCCTCCAGTCTGCTGGGACTTCTCCTGTTCTCCAAGATTATTGCCAATGGTTCTGAAATGACTTCTGATAGTTCCTTCAACACTCTTGGATGTGGTTCACCTGGCTCTGGAGACTTGGTTTCATTTAGAGTTGCCAGACTTCTATGATTCTATATTTGGATATTTTTAAACAGATTTATTTGGGGGAGATGTTTTTAAACAGATGGCCTTCTACCAGGAGGGCTCGGATTGTGTGTTCCTGCATGGCAGAAGGGGATCGACTGGATGGCCCTTGAGGGTCTCGTCTGGCTTTAGGATTCTGTGAAGAGATTCCACCTAAACTTAGGAAGACCTTTCTCACAGTGATGAGGACACACAGTGTAGTCATCATCTGCTGCTGCAAGGACACAAAGTTAGAATTAGAGGAGAAATGACAATTTGGGCTTCTACATACAACCTCTTTGGCGAAAAAGTATCACCCCTAGGGTCAGTTCCAGCCCACAATACAAAGAACCATAACCCCATGGCTGGCCCCATTACAAACTTAAAATTGGGGCAGCAAGCCCCTCCAAGACTGACCCGAATGAGGAGTCCAGAAACAATAGACATGAAAACCTTTATTTTGAAAATAAAACCATAACACTGCCCTCCTTCCCTTTGGGGCGGGGGGAACTGGGGTGTCCTCAGGTGGGCAGCCCACTTCCCCCCTGAAAAGAACCCCAAAGGGGCAAGAAGTCTCTGTGTGCCCCCCAAAATCAGCTCCAAACGGTATTCTTCTGAGGTAGTTCTTCTGGAAGAGCTTCACAATCCCTGAGACGCGTGGCGCTTGGACCAAAGGGAAGGGACTGGTCAAAGGCGGGGTTTGATTTGCAGCGGCTTCCCTGCAGAAAAGAGACAAGAGGGTGGTTGAGGTTGAAAATGGCCTCCATGAGGACAGGCAGCCTGAAAGTGAAAAGATTGCAAGGTTTTGTCCTCCTTTAAAAAACTATTCCAATTTATTGTCGAACGCTTTCATGGCTGGAATCACTAGGTTCTTGTGGGTTTTTTCGGGCTATATGGCCATGTTCTAGAGGCATTTCTCCTGATGTTTCGCCTGCATCTATGGCAAGCATCCTCAGAGGTGAGGTCTGTTGGGACCCAACAGACCTCACCTCTGGGGATGCTTGCCATAGATGCAGGTGAAATGTCAGGAGAAATGCCTCTAGAACATGGCCATATAGCCCGAAAAAACCCACAAGAACCTACTATTCCAATTTATCTGAATTTGACACCTTCTAGATACATTGGATTACAGCTCCCAGAATCCCCCAGCCAGCTTGTTTACAACCTTGGAAAGCGCTGCTTCTCTTAAAGCCATTGCAGGTCCCATCATAAACATAAACATAATAATAATAATCTATATAAATAAAAATGTAATGTTCGTTTGTGGGATTAACAGAACTCAAAAACCACTGGACGAATTGACACCAAATTTGGACACAAGACACCTAACAACCCAATGTATGTCCTTCACTAAAAAAAATGATTTTGTCATTTGGGAGTTGTAGTTGCTGGAATTTATAGTTCACCTACAATCACAGAGCATTCTGAACCCCACCAATGATGGAATTGAACCAAACTTGGCACACAGTTTCTCCAATGACCAACAGAAAATACTGGAAAGGATTGATGGGCAGTGTCCTTTGGTTTTGGAGTTGTAGTTCACCTACATTCAGAGATCACTGTGGACTCAAACAGTGATGGATCTGGACCAAACTCTACACAAATACTCAATATGCCCAAATGTGAATACTGGTAGAGTTTGGGAAAAATAGAATCTTGACATTTGGGAGTTGTAGTTGCTGGAATTTATAGTTCACCTACAATCACAGAGCATTCTGAACCGCCCCAACGATGGAATTGAACCAAACTTGGCACACAGTTCTCCAATGAACAACAGAAAATACGGAAGGGATTGATGGGCAGTGTCCTTTTGTTTTGGAGTTGTAGTTCACCTACATCCAGAGATCACTGTGGACTCAAACAGTGCTGGATCTGGACCAAACTCTACACGAATACTCAATATGCCCAAATGTGAACACTGGTGAAGTGTGGGGAAAATAGAATCTTGACATCTGGGAGTTGTAGTTGCTGGAATTTATAGTTCACCTACAATCACAGAGCATTCTGAACCCCACCAACGATAGAATTGGGCCAAACCTCCCAAACAGAACCCCCATGTGGGCCACAGCAACGCGTGGCAGGGGACGGCTAGTACAGTAAATAAATAAATAAATAAATAAATAGGGACGTTTCCAGCAAATCCACAGGGGAAAAAGCTTTGATTGCAATGCTTTTGCTTAGAGGAAGGAAACAAATAGTATCTTGCTACTCAAGGAATGGGAGAAAGGATCCCTTTCCACATGCAGACGGTTCAGGATGCAGTTGGAGAAAGGTCTGTGAGGCTGGTGACAAGGTCAAAGCGTTCAGGATGATGAGACCCAAAAGCCAAGAAGCGGAGCCTGGCAAAGGAGAACTCATATAATGAATTTCCAGTGCAGCATTCTGAAACTGCATTATAGGGCAGTGTGGATCCAGCTTTGCCATTCATTTCAGAGAAGTGGATGGGAATCCTCAAAAGCTTGCTCTGAAATAAAATCGTTCCAAAAATGCTGCTAGGTTCCTTTCCCTTCTTCCCTCTCTGCCTAATTACGAGTCTGTTGATTTTAATTTGATATCTATATTAAAATTCCCCAAAGGCAAACTCTCTCGGTTGTCTTGCAATTCCAGCATATTGGCTGCAAAACGAATCGCATTACAAGAACAGAGATCCCAGGGAAACTTTAGCGTGGCAGTAGAATAAATTGCCTTGGAGGGTGCTAGCCTTTCAACCTTTGGAGGTCTTTCAACAGAGTTGGGATGGACCTCTTCTAGCAATGCTTTAGTTGTGTAGTTCTAAATGGAAATTTAGTGGGTTGGACTAGACGTTTGACTCTATGATTAGCTCTAATGTGCTGAATATGAGCAAAAAAAGTGGTTAATATTTATTCAAGGGACCTGAGAAAATAAGGTGTAATTTTTCAGCAAAACCAATAGATTTCCAACTCTGGAAAACCCTCAAAGAAAAATATGGAAAGCCTTGAAAGTGCATAAATATTGTATTGCTGAAGGCTTTCATGGCAACTCACTGGGTTGCTGTGAGTTTTCCAGGCTGTATGGCTATGTTCCAGAAGCATTCTCTCCTGACATTTCGCCCACACCTATGACAGGCATTCTCAGAGGTTGTGAGGTCTGTTGGAAACTAGGAAAATGGGTTTTATAAATCTGTAGAATGTCCAGGGTGGGAGAAAGAACTTTGTCTGTTTGAGGCAGGTGTGAATGTTGCCATTGGCCACATTAATTAGCATTTAATTGGAGGGTGTTGGGCTTTCCACCTTTGGAGGTCTTTCAACAGAGTTGGGATGGACCTCTTCCAGCAATGCTTTAGTTGTGTGGTTCTAAATGGAAATTTAGTGGGTTGGACTAGACGTTTGACTCTACGATTAGACCTAATGTGCCACTGGCCACATTAATTAGCATTTAATGGCCCAGCAGTTTCAAGGTCTGGCTTCTTACTGCCTGCTACATAAACATAACAGTACATAAAGAACAACACTAAAAAACAGGGGAATTCCAGACAAGAAACAATCAGGGCCAGCTAATCACCTCCCAACAAAGGATTCCCCAGGCAGTAAGAAGCAGTTGTGAATGGATTGTTGTAGGTTTTTTCGGGCTATATGGCCATGTTCTAGAGGCATTCTCTCCTGACGTTTCGCCTGCATCTATGGCAAGCATCCTCAGAAGTAGTGAGGTCTGTTGGAACTAGGAAAATGGGTTTATATATCTGTGGAATGACCATGGGACAAAGAACTTTTGTCTGCTGGAGCTAGGTGTGAATGTTTCAACTGACCACCTTGATTAGCATTTGATTGCCTGGCAGATGTGAATGTTGCCATTAGCCATGTTGATGTTCTAGAATCAGAACAGTAAAGAAAGAACAACACTAAAAAAACAGGGGAATTCCAGACAAGAAACAACCAAGGCTAGCTAAAAAAGGATTCCCAAAAAAGGATTCTCCCAAGCAGGAAGCAGCTAGACCCTGAAGCTGCTAGGTCATTAAATGCTAATCAAGGTGGCCAATTGCAACATTCACACCTGCCTCAAGCAGATAAGTTATTTCTCCCACCCTGGATATTATTCCACAGATATATAAACCCCAATTTCCTAGTTTCCAACAGACCTCACAACCTCTGAGGATGCCTGCCATAGAAGCAGGCGAAATGTCAGGAGAGAATGCTCCGAAATCATGGCCAACTGCAACATTCCTTCATTCTAACATGGTCATCAACATGGCCAATTGCAACATTCACATCATTTAATGGCCTTCGAGGTTTGGCTGTTTACTGCCTGGGGGATCCTCTCACCTCTGCAGGAGTCTACCGTATACCATGCAGCTGTGGACAAGTCTACAGAGGGACCACCAAATGCAGCAGCATTGCCCAGACACAAATCAAGGCACTGCAGACAAATTCAACCTGAAAAGTCAGTCATACCGAGCACTTAATTAACCAACTTGGACACACCGTATTGTTTGAGAACACAGAAATGCTGGACCACTCTCACAACCACCATGTCAGGCTACACAAAGCAGCCACTGAAATCCACAAGCAGGTGGACAATTTCAACAGAAAGGAGGAAACCATGAAAATGAACAAAATCTGGCTATCAGTATTAAAAAACACCTCTAGAATCAGAACAGTAAAGAAAGGAAAACACTCAAAAGCAGGGGAATTCCAGACAAGAAACAACCAGGGTTAGCTAATCACCTCCCAATAAAGGATTCCCCCAGGCAGGAAGCAGCTAGAGCCTGAAGCTGCTAGGCCATTAAATGCTAATCAAGGTGTCCAATTGCAACATTCCCACTTGCCTCAAGCAGACAAGAGTTCTGGGTTGTTGTAGGTTTTTTTGGGCTATATGGCCATGTTCTAGAGGCATTCTCATGACGTTTTGCCTATATCTATGGCAAACATCCTCAGAGGTAGTGAGGTCTGTTGGAACTAGGAAAATGGGTTTATATATCTGAGAGCTCTTTCTCCCACCCTGGACAGATATAAACATCATTTTCCTAGTTTCTAACAGACCTCGCAACCGCTGAGGTTGCCTGCAATAGAAGCAGGCGAAACGTCAGGAGAGAATGCTTCGGGGACATGGTCAGAAAACTCACAACAACCCATAATAATAATATCATTTCACCTCTGATTTTTGCAGAACGTTGAGATTTGGGTTGTAATTTTAAACCTTGCCATAAAGTGGTGCTGTGACCTATACAAAGATCTGATGGAAAGCAGACTTCTGCAGAATGGGAATAATCCTGGGAAGGCATTTCATGAACTGTAAATTTGACTTCGAGACCAGGTTTTGACATAATGTTCTGGTGCTCAAAGAATGATCAAGTTTCTAGGTCTCAAAGAGAAAGCTGCCCAGCAAAAGTCAAGGAGGGAGCAAACGGATTGGAGCTTGGTGAGGCACCAACTCCTTGGCAGACAAGACTACAGACCTCTTAAAACTACAACTCCCAGGATTCGATAGCATTGAGCCATAGCAGTTAAAGTGCTCTCAAACAGCATTAATTATATCAATGCACCTCCTCAATCTCTGGTGGGGTGGAAGCAACAATGCATGAGACAGCCATGCACACAAACACACGCCTTGTGGGAGGTCTCGGCTCATTCTGCTTCCCTTCCTTTAGAAAAAAAAAAAGCCAAACCACCACCAACTTGTTAAACAAACTTTGGGCCGAAGAGTAAGCAGCGTTGGCATTGATTCATGACTTTTGCGCTAATTTATGTAAAATAAAGAGGGC